ACTCGAACTCGCGACACCCTGACGCGCTACCGCACCATATGTTGGCACGCCAACCACTAGGCTATTGCGCCGACACAGCACTTCATTTTAGCGTACACTGACATCTCCCAGGTGGCTCATTGGTTAACACATTCGCCTCACAGCAAGAAGGTCGCTGATTCGAGTCCCGGCTGGATCAGTTGTCATTTCTGTGTGGAGTTTGCATGTTCTCTCTATGTCAATGTGGGTTTCCAACGGGTGCTCCGGTTTTCCCCACAGTTTAAAGACATATGTTTTAGGTGAATTGAATAAACTAAATTGGCCATAGTGTATGAGTGTGTATGGATGTTTCCCAGTACTAGGTTGTGTGTAAAATCATAAGCTGGCGATTCATTCCGCTGTGGTGACCCCTGATAAATAAACTAAGCCGAAGGAAAATAAATGAATGTCCTCTATTTCCAACTGGGGATGTCCATCTCGAGGACTTCAGAAATTTTGCAGCACCATTTATGGTATTCAAGACCTGTGAAAAGATGATGCCAACCATCAAGGACTTGGAGGACAACACATACACTAAATAGACAAATACACTTGATTAAACATGTACACATAGACATCATCTATATGCTATAAGATTGCAGGTTAACTATGTCTGTATATAATAACTTAGATTTGATTGTAACTGTAACTTAATTTGATTGTAACGCAGTGATGTGCACCTTTCGTAAAGCTGCTTTGGAACAATAATTATTGTGAAAAGCGCTATACAAATAAACTTGAATTGAATGGAGTATGATTTAAAAACACTACAGAATTTACTATAGTATTTTTTCATGTGGGTGTTTTAAAATGGCATATGCCAAAATATGTACCTGTATTATCAGTATCTTATTTTTCAAGTTAATCTTAGTGATCTTATTGTTTGAGTATATCTATCGCTAGCATTTTAGCTTGTGGAAGTATATCAAATATACTCACTGGTCATTTTATTAGGCACACCTTGCTACCAGGTTGTACCTACATCACTTTTGCAATTCGAACTGCTTTACTTCATAGCATTAATTCAGTAAGCAAATATTTCTCATATTTTGATGTGTGTTGGCTCCATATCCATGGTGTAGATCTCCACATCCCAAAGGTGCTCTATTGGATTAGGATCTGGTGACTGAAGTCATTTGAGTTTAGCGAATTTACAGTCATGTTTAAGACACCCGTTTCAGATGATTTGAGCTTTATGACATGGTGTGTTATCGTGCTAAAAGTGGCATCACAAGATGAGTTCACTGTGGTCATAAAGGGATGGACGTGATCAGCAACAATACCCATAGGCTTTGGTGTTTAAATGAAGCTTAGGTGGTAAAAATAAAATTAAAAGGGTAACACTTTACAATAACATTACATGAATAATGATCTATTAATATGTAAACTAAACATTAGTTTATTATGAATTAATGATGAGTTAAGGTATGCACTAATCATGAACTAACTTTAACTACAACATGAGTCACATGAGTTTTTGTGTAAATAACGACTACCTTAATTACTTGTTAGTACATGTTGTTAATTAATGTATTAATTAATATTTAGTTTAAGCTAAATGTAACCAACATGAACTCATGAGCTGTTAATGTATAGTTATGTCATGACTTTACTTGGAGGGGCACATCACTATTAACTCATCCTTAACTACTCATGAACTCCTGTTCATGTTGATAGAACACTTTTCTATTATTCAGATTAAACTCACATGTTGAACGTGCATAAGGAGTTCATGAGTAGTTAAGACTGGGTTAATGATGATGTGCCCCCCAAGTAAAGTCACAACATAATTATACATTAACATATCATGAGTTCATCATGGTTAAATTAAGCATAAACTAATATGTAGTTTAAATATTAATACATCATTATTCATGTACTGTTATTGTAAAGTGTTACCATTAAAAGAAATGGAAATAACATTAGACCACCAGTAGCAGCCTGAACACTGGTGATACAAGGCTGGATGAATGTGTAAAGCACGTTCTGATCTGGCCATCCAAGTATGAGACCAGAAATCTAGACTCATCAGACTAGACAACCTATTTCAATCCATTTATCAGGTTTTGTGGAGCCAGTGAGAATAGCCTCAGTTTGCTGTTGTTGTCTGGCAGGAGTGTCGCTGTTGTGTCTTCTGCTGCTGTAGCTACAAGGTTTTACTGTCTTTCTATCTTGATCTATTCTTGTCATTCTCCTCTGACCTCAAGCAGCAACACAGCATTTTCACCCACCGAACTGCTGCTCACGGTATAATTTAAATAGCTGTGATATGGTTGTGTAAAAAAAATAAAAATAAAAAAGAAGTCTGTGAAATTCTCAGACCAGATCAGTGTGGCAAAAAAAAACAAATAAAAAAACATGCCCACATCCGATAGGTTTCTGTCATGCGATTTACAAATTTCATGCTTACAAAGAGTTGTACCTAATAAAATGGCCAGTAATCTACAGTTTCTAAATCACTTTTTTACTTTTTAAATCTTACAAAAATGTACATTTGCATGCCAACTATACATTTGTCTTGTTGCTTTTGCTTTACTGGAGGGCTCATCAGTTAAAGATAATGGCATAGTGAAAAAAAAAAATCAGTCCATGTCTACTTTCTCTCCTTTTCATTCATTTGGTAAAACAAGAACAGTGTGGATTCTCAGCCCATTATCTTGATTGAGCTAAATACCAGAAGGATGCAATGGGGATCTGAGATCATTAGATGTCTGAAATACCTGAAGAGCAAACAAAAGATACTGGCATTCCGCAGTTGTTTTGAAATTTCTGCCTTTAAAAACTGAATAAGGTGCACGTCATTTTCATAATTCTTTTCCATATTTCAACAATAGTAGAAACATTCAATACTGAATTAAAGTATTCAGAGACTTACAAGAGGTAAATACACTGTAAGAAATTGACAGAAAGTCATGACCAAGTGTTTTGTTACTTTAATCTATGTGCATTAATTAGGATTTAACTAAATGTTTTAAGATATACTCAATTAAATTTTTTTTAGGAAAGTTGAAAAAAAAAAAAAATTTATTACTCATAATGCAAAAAAATGCATTGTATAATAATAATTAATATTGCAAATAAATCCAAATGTGTTAATCCAATAAATAATTAAACATACTGTGCTATGCAGAATAATAAAAGAAATTGAGCCTATTTAAAGTAAACTGGATTTAAATTAATTGTCTAAAATCTGCCTTTTAAGCATGTGTTACAACTAACCCTCTCTCTGTTACAACTTGCAAGTAAATAGCAACATTTTTACTCCTGGCACTTTTGGCAATACTGCATAGAAACCATAGGTCCGGCGATTCAGGGGCGGACTGGCCATCTGGCAAATGCCAGAAGGGCCGGATCAGTTTTTAAATGTGGGTCGGTCAGTTTTTTATTATTTTAAATTTTGTATTGTTTTTACGTGAAGGCAGCTTTTATCTCTTGCTAGATGTGATATTATGATGATGATGATAATAAAAATAATAATAATAATAAATGTTGAGCATTTAGCCCAATTGGCGACGGCCGCCTGGTTTCAAGATGGGCCGACCCAATTCGAGGTTACCTGGACGTAATCAAAATCTGGCAAGATTGTCATATTATTTTACCATCTGTTCACCAAAATAAATAGTGAATGTGCATGTCCGTGGGTGGAGCTGTTTCGGTGTGGTAGTGTGAGCTGGTGTGGCTACAGTGCCAGGGCTGAATTTTTGTCCCAGTCTGCCCCTGCGGCGATCATACTTTCAGTTCTCATTTGTAGGAGATGCTTGTGTGTTCGTTGGTAAAAAATATGGTTTGTCTAACCCATTACTAGTTCATTATTTGGCCAAAACCAAAAAAAAATGTTACTTTGTGCCCCGCTCTCCACTAAAAGCATATTATTCTGTTGAAATAAGCAGGATCTATACTTTTTCTCTTTAAAAACATTTTTACATTTCATTTCAAATTACTGAACTGAACTAATATTTGTTGCATTGCTACACATTAGGTAACCAATTTCTGGCACCAAGAAAAAGGTATTTTAATCCAGGAAAAATAAACTACATCCCAGTTCTTGATTGTTTTAGGGTTTTGCTTCAGAAAAGTCCATGAGTTTTCAATTGGGTTGAGATCAGGAGATGGAGCTGGCCACTCCATTTCTTCAACCCTTTTTGCCGAAAACCAAGATTCAGAATGTTTGGAATGACCCATTTTATGTCACAATGTCAAAAACCCATATATTTTAGAACCGTATGTAAGACATTGCTGGTATGCTGATTGCTGATATGCTGATTTCTTTAATAAAGGACCATTAAAGGCATCTGTTTTGTTGTTGTTTTGTTTACAGAATGAACAAATTCTCTCAAACTCCACACTGCTATTAATTTGAAGGCCTCTTTCAATGCTTTACTCAGAACTCAGAACTCAGAACAAGCAGCACACGTGACAGATTCATTTATTCATTTTCTTTTCGGCTCAGTCCCTTTGTTAATCCAATGTTGCCACAGTGGAATGAACCGGCAACTTATCCAGCATGTTTTACGCAGCGGATGCCCTTTCAGTCGCAACCAATCACTGGGAAACATAAATACACACTCATTTACACACATACACTATGGACAATTTAGCTTACCCAATTCACCACGGCTTTGGACTGTGGGGGAAAATGGAGCACCCGGAGGAAACCCATGTGAACACGAGGGGAGCTAGCAAACTCCACACAGTAACGCCAACTGACCCAGCCAAGTCTCGAACCAGCCTTCTTCACTGTCCCACCCCATCGCCCATATGACAGATTTTTTAGATCTATTGTTTTTTCTAAAGTAAATCATCTTTTCACAAGTAAATCATCTGCAAAGCACAAATATCACCATTGCTTTTAACAGTAGATCAATAGGTTACTGATTTCGTATTGCCTTTTTAACACAACCGTAGATTCATAAATTCTTTAAAAAAAGAAGAAAAAAAGATTTAATTATAAATTACTAAAGACAAAATTTAAATACAAGGGCTGAGAAAATGACCTTACTTGATATATTTCAGAATCTGCTTTGAAGAATACAGAGCAATGTTAAATATAAATATATATCTCAATATACAGGGAAAATGTGACAGTTGAAAATGTCATAGTCCATTTACCTTGACATTTTGAATGTATTTTATCATGATTAAACATAATTGGCTTAAATGTGATGAAACTTTTCCAGTATTAAGGAACCGTCTCTTTCATCAATGTAAGAACTTTTAAATCTTAAACCTACAACCTTTAAAAAGACAAACACACGTTAATTTGTTGTCATCCACCTTTACATGTTTCTCTACGAAAGAAATCAAGCCAATATATTGCAATATACTGAATGTATTCACATATATCATACACAGACTGTACAATTGATTTGAAATAATTTAAAAGTTTCCCCAAGTTCTAACTACCTGTACATGAACAATAAAAACAAAACAAAAAAACTGAAGTGAGCGTCCAGCAAATTCTGCATTTGACATACAATCAGATACAGCATATATATATATATATATATATATATATATATATATATATATATATGTGTGTGTGTGTGTGTGTGTGTGTGTGTGTGTGTGTGTGTGTGTGTGTGTGTGTATGAAGCACCAAAAATGTGCAATAATGCAATACTAAAATAATGGATTAGAAGCCCTTTAAAGTTTGAGACAAAACTATTGTTTCACTATATTATATTGCTTGACAAATCTTGTATATGGTCTGCACCAACCTATTCAATAAAGCCCACCAAAAAAGTATGTACAGTCTAAATGACAAATTATTCAGACGTTCGTTGGAACTTTGGGAAAACTATAAAAAAATATTGGGAGAAAACTTAAGGGTATAGTTTGTCATAAACAAATGATAATAGACCATTCCTAAACAGTAGTTTCAGATATGTTACAACCACACACACACACACACACACACACACACACACACACACACACACACACACACACACACACACACACACGTTATATATAGATGTACACAATTATGAAAAACAAAGAGACCACTTGAAAATTCTGGATTCAGGTATGGGTGTTGAGGAAAAACGTAAATAAAAATTTTATTCTAGAAAGTTCTGATGACATTTTTTCCAGATTTTAAATAAAAAAATTATTTATACACTAAAATGCTTCATTTTAAACAATTTTATAGCATTCTTCTTCCTCTGAAAATTATAATTAATCAGAATAATAAATATTTTCATTAAGATAACTACACCAAATATTGATTTCTTAACTCTACTGAAATTAAAACATTAGTATTTTGATAAAAGTGTCTGAAAACATAAAAAAATTAAAAATCTGAAGAAAATTATAAATCATCAAATGGTCTCTATTTTCCATAGATGTGCAACTCAAGTAATCAGACATTTTCAGGTCAAACAAAACACTGTCAAGGCACAACATAAAAATCAGAGTACATTCTATTATATTGCAGATTAATCTGAATACGCAGAGGAATAATGGCAGTAACCAACCTGGACATCACAATGTCCAAATAACTTCCATGTATTGTACACCGATACATGAATCTTATAAAATATCTTCTTCATCACATGCATGGATATTCATAGATATTACTGCACGAATACTGCTCGAAATATGTCATCTAGACAAAAAGAAACCCTCAGAGCTGCACGCGGCAACAATGCGAGCCACCGATGAGTCACAGCGCACGGCTTTAACACCGCTGTGCTCAACCTTGAGAGAATATCAGGGACGCTTTAAATTAAAAGAGTGCAAGTTTTTGTCCTTAGTGTGTGCAAAGTATTACAGATATGAAAAAAACGTGACAGATCCATTGCATTTCTTTTGCTTCTTTGAAGGTCCCTCATTCTCAATCTCTCTTCATTATGGCATTGGAGGCCCGTTTTTAGCAACGATGAAGCCCTCTAGTGGCTCAAAGCAGTAAATGAAGTGCAGCGGGTGCCAGAGAAGAGCCGGCGGCCACAGGGAGTCAGTCTGTTCACTCTCTGCAGGAGGAAAAGACCCTCCATTCAGCAGCCTCCAGAAAGACCCCCTCAAGGGCGATGAAACCTGCCACAAAACAGAGACGGCAGACGCTGATTTAGCAGTCGTGCCAGGCGACGGGATGCAAAACAGTTCTGGGCAATGTTTAGAGGGAACCATGGCTTTTGCGGTGCAGGAAGAGCGGGATGGGATGGTTTTAGTAGCAGTAAGTCTATTTGCATGGCACTTGATGGGAGACGCCAGTCAGATACTCTCTGACAGATGTCTGATTCATAAAAATTAGCAGTCAAATTGAAATTGGTCTGTTCATTTTTATAATTCTGAACAGTGTTAGGTAGGCCTGTATAGTATTTATTTTTTGCTGTATGATATATTGCACCAAATTGCATGCCAGTCATTATATAATGCCAAAATGACAATATAATAGCATCATGACTCTTCCAAAGAACACATAATATTTTATTCTTAAGAATATTTAAATTAGTCATTTTAACAATTGAATAATTAAGCATTGGAATCAGAATGTGAAAACTCATATCCTGAATAAAATGATAATAATTATTACCAAAAAAAAGGAAGGTAAAAAGTAATAGAGGCTGCGATATCTGATCAATTTTCAGTTGTCAGACACCTACATGAAAATATACTAAAGTTATTTATAGTAAATAAACTAGCTGACAAAAGTCTTTACATCTATCCCAGTTGTAAGAACAAAAAATAATAACTTGACTTCTAGTTGATCATTTGGAAAAGTGGAAGAAGTTAAATTGTTTTAGTTGAATCATCTATTGAACTGCATCCACATCATCACAAATACTGCAAGTCCTACTGGAACCCCCATGGACTCAAGATTCTCATGGTTTGGGGTTACATTCAGTATGGGGGTATGTGAGAGATCTGCAGAGTGGATGGAACATCAAAAGCCTCAGGTATCAAGACATTTGGGCTGCCCATTACATTACAAACCAGGAGAGGGCAGTTTCTTTAGAAGGATAGCGCTCCTTATACTTTAGCCTCCACATCAAAGTTCCTGAAAGCAAAAAAGGTCAAGTGCTCCAGGATTGGCCAGCCCAGTCACCAGAAAGACACATTATTGAGCATGTCTGGGGTAAGATGAAGGAGGAGGCATGGAAAATGAATCCAAAAAATCTTGAAGGAAGTCCTGTAAGAACTCTTTCTTTGCCATACCACATGACTTTATTGATACGTTATTTGAGTCGCTGCAGAGATGTATGGATGCAGTCCTCCAAGCTCATGAGTCATACACAATATTAATTCTTTTTCCACTGCACCATGACTTTATATTCTATACTGTACATTATTTCTGTTAAGTGACGAGACTTTTGTCCCACAAAGTCAGACCTTACTCTTCTAATTAAATCATTAATAATCAAGGCATGATCATATTTTATTTTGTTGAAATAAGCTTAATTTAGAGGCCTTTGCCTTTCATATAAACCCCTTCTGATACCAAGTAATCAAATAGAAGTCAAGTTATTATTTGTTGTTCCTAAAACTTGAATTTTGTGTGACAAGATTTTTGTCAAGTAGTTTTTGTTTTTTTAACCATACTTACACTGACACCTCCAATAGTGATAGAAAGGCTGTGGCTAGAATTGTTTTTTTTTTTCATGTACAGTATGGGTGATATATATTGCATCACCAAAAAGGATTGAGGTCATGCCCATGTGTTGTGCGATAACTTGATATATTGATTATTTTGACAGGCTTACAATTAACGTGATCTAATGATTGAAAATAGACAAAGACATTTTATATGTATACTGTATTGTGTGACGTTATAATGAGAAATAAAATACAATAATATATACAATGCTCAGTATAAATGAGTGCACCCCCTTATGAAAATTAATATTTGTATCAATTTCTCAGTGAATTGAGCTAATATTTTTGGTAAAACACTTTTATTGAAAAATGTAATATCCATAAAAACAACAGGTTGGTGACTGAATATCTTTAGGAATAGAAAGATAACCTGTATTGCAAATAAAAATGAAAATAGTTTTTTTATGTTTCCCGTGATTTTCCTATTTATAAAAATATGATTTAATATTGACCTTAAAATGGCTTTTAAAGAATTAAAAACTGCTTCTGTTGTAGCAAAAATAAAACAAATAAGACTTTCTCCAGAAGAAAAAATATTCAGACATACTGTGAAAATTGTCTTGCTTTGTTAAACATTTGGTAAATATAAAAAAATAATTAAAAGGTGGTGAAAAATTAGTAGATTCAATGAATATGTTAAGGAAAATATTTAATAAAATTTTAATAGAGTAAAAATCAAGAGAACCATGCAAAAACGTATATATATATATATATATATATATTAGGGATGTAACGGTATCAGAATTTCACGGTTCGGTAATACCTCGGTATGAATGTCACGGTACGGTATTTATTGAATCATTTACATGAAAAAAAAAAACTTTTGAAAATACTCCAAAAAAGTGCCAAAAGTGTCAATGACATACAAATTAGCCATCTATCTGTAAGCTTTGAAACACTAACTTCAATTTTAATAACAAAAAATTATTAAACCATGTAAAAAAATAAAGTTTCAATTTAGTATTGTTGAAAACTCATCACATTCAACATTTAATCACTCACTTAGATAGAGATGGGTTTAAAGAAAAATTATCATATAATTATAATCTGGTAAAAGCTGGTATCTCTGGGTATTTACAATGTCCCCTGCAACAGAAAAAAACCCTCTCATTTGGGACTGAGGTTTCTGGGACAAGAGAGATATGACTTGGCCCAGGTTGACAGCAGTGGGGTAACGTTGTGCATTGTCTTTCCCCCACTTGAGAAGACAAACCATGAGTGAGATAGAGGTCTCTTTGGGGTACAAGTCAATGTCTGCATCAATCTGAACAGTGTGCTGTGTTTCTGCAGTCCCCATGACTGTTATTAGTCGTATTCCCCAACTTGCAGGCACGTGCACACATAGAGCTCAACCTGTGCAGTGCGCATGCCCTTTTTAGTCTTGGATAGAAAATGCCCTTCCAAAACGATCAAAAGTGCCCCCGCGACGCGACACAACCTCCGTCCAATCCAGCCCTTCAGTAGGCGCGCGACAACACCTCTCTTGAATATGCGCGCTCAACCCCCCCTCGGCGCTTTACAATACGCGCGCCACAACACAGCTGATCAGAACGCGCACGACAGCACCGCTATTCAGCACGCGCGCGGCGACAACACCCGCTTTAGGTTCGATCATTTCCATCTTTTTTTCATCTCCGCTACTAGCAGCACACTCCATTTCCGCATTACTGGATCTGTAGCGACAACAGACCGCAAAGGATTATGGCCACGCCTGGGCTGATGGGAAATGTTGTTTCAGCTACCTCCCGTTCGCGTCATTCGCCTGAGCAAATTTTATCAGAAGACCTATAGTTTTACCGAGTCATGTGACTTCGGTAATATCGGAAAAAATTAATATTGCGGTATGACGGTATTTACAATACCGTTACATCCCTAATATATATATATATATATATATATATATATATATATACACACATTTTTTTTGTGTAATACCTTGTTTGCATTTAAATTAATTTTCTTTTTATTCCTTAATAGGAACAGGTAGGTGACCAAACTTTTTACTACTGCTTTGTTTCTCTGCGCCAAATATTCTGTTTATATTCACTGAGACATTGATAAAAAATATTCCATTTCAAAGGGGTGTACTCATTTATGCGGGTAACATTCTTGTTGAATTTATAATTATTATCGATTGAGTGTTTGTTTTCCATTTTAGATGTTTTTTTATAGACTTTACACTCTACACAAATGCTGCAACAAAGTGGGTGGAATGGCTGTTAAGAATAACATAAAAACATAATTATGTCATAAGAAATTACTAGATACAAAGTCCTAAATATGAAAAGGTTAAAATCATGACAAGCTTTTTCATACTTAAAAAGAAAAAGAAAAGAAACCTGAAATGTATGTTTAGTTAAAGTACATTCCCTTAAAGTTTAAGTTATTAGATGAAAACCATTTTCAAGGTATGCCGCGGTTTGCAAAAATCTTATTTCTAAATCCAAATTTTCTGAAGAGACAGTAAGACTTTAAAGCGCAGATTTAAAACACAAGCAATTTACTGTAATAAATATAGATATTTGAATGTGTGTGACATGAGACTGAGCAATCGCCATATTGGATTTAGCTGTAGTACTATTGTAGTGTAAGCATAGCAAGCACTTAGATTTCTGTAAATGCAATTGTAAAAAAAAAAAAAAAAGTTAACCTTGCAATGCCAAATGTCTGATTTTACCATTAAAATCTGCCAACTTATTTGTAATCAGTGACAGAGTACAAGCATGTGTCTAACATAATTAATAATTCAGCTTCAGAATGATGAATATTTGTGTTCTGCTCTGGTGTATTTACGGTGTTAACCCTGCATTGCGGTGGAAGATGTGTACAGTGAAAAATAATGCACTGTTTGAATGTCACGACTAGATTCTTAGCAACTAGCGGTGCGTCGCGTGACTCATTCATGTGCTTTGGCCACTCAAGCAAACACTACGCCTTGTGTACAGTATTAACAGTGGCTCAGTGTTTGAGGGGGGAAATATCAAACTGTGCTGAAAGGGACCATCATGAAGTGAAGAGAAGACCTTTTCATTCATATATTTACACCTCAAACTGCTGTATCTGTTTAAGCACTGACAAACAAATATACAAATAGGAGCATTCAGGATTGTACACAGTGAAACGTCAGTGTATGAATAATACCCATGATTTATTGTAATCCTGGATAGAGTATAAGCAATGTGAAATGTGAAGTCATTTTTGACTAGATAAAATTATACATTTGTGTGCACAAATGCCTAGGAATCACCACAAGTAACTATTACTGTGCAGCCTGAAGACTACATAATCTATATATCAAATCATAATCCATATATCAATTTCAAAAATATATACAGTTGAAGTCAGAAATATTAGCTCTCCTGACTTAATAGCCCCTTCATATTTTTTCCTCAATTTCTGTGTAACAGAAAGAAGACTTTTTTAGCACATTTCTAAATATAATAGTTTCAATAACTCATTTCTAATAACTGATTTATTTTATCTTTGCCATGATGACAGTAAATATTATTTTACTAGATATTTTAATGATACTAGTATTCAGCTTAAAGCGACATTTAAAGTCTTAACTAGGTTAATTAGGCAAGTTATTGTATAACAGTGGTTTGTCTTGTAGACAATAAAAAAAAACATTGCTTAGGTTCAAATTTTTTACATTTAATATATATATGAGCAATATATTTTTATTTATATATATTTATATATATATATATATATATATATATATATATATATATATATATATATATATATATATATATATATATTTTTTTTTTTTTTTTTTTTTTTTTTAAGGGATTTTTCTGATCATGTACACAAACATACCTTGTAAATTGTTTGCTTTCTTCATGGACTTCCATTTCTTTGCTTTTAAACTCATTAAGTTCCTTACGTATAGCAGCCTGTGAAGAGAAAAAAAATTAATTTGTAACAATGTGATGTGCTGATTATCAGTTGTGTGAAGACAGAGTTGAATCTTTTTCAGTATTCTTTGATGATAAAAACAAAAAAAAAAGTTAATTAAAATGCACCTTTCTTTTTTGTTTTAATGTATTTAAGGATGTTGGCAGAAAAAAAAGATGCATTAATGGTATTTTGTGTTATAATGCACCAATAACAGCACATGTATTTGTCATTTTGTTAATTATGTGAGGGTTAGGCTCATAATGTACTAGTCACATGGCCAGTAGGTGGCATCTGTGACCATCACAAAGGCATCAAAACATTCCAGCATTGATTACACTCTTAAACCATATTCTTCTCCAAACTACACAATTTAAAGAAGCAATATAGTAGAGCAAATCATGTTTATATTGTAACCAAGATCAGCAGTATAATACTGTATAATCTAACTACACAGACAGCCAACAAACGTGATTAACCTGCTTATTACTAATAAGTTTTAAAGAAATAGTTTATAGAAAGAAAAGTAGTTTAATTTTAAACAAAATAGGTTTTTCAAGAATTTGAATATTTATAATGACGGGTAATAATATTTACCATTTAAATTATCATCATCATTTTAATTAACTAAAGCATTTAGGATTGATAAATACCTACCAAACATTTTTTTATATCGTAAATAATCTTTTTTAAAAATTCTAAAAATATTTTTTAAGCTACATGTTAAGCATGATTACAGCTTAAAATACCAGCAGTATTGAAAAACTAAATTTTAATATTCAGACAAATATATATTTAAATTAAGGTAATAAAACAATGTAAAACTATATATATATATATATATATATATATATATATATATATACACACACACACACACACACACACACACACACACACACACACACACACACACACACACACACACACACACACACACACACACACACACACTATTTATACATTTTTTGCAATTTAATTTATTTATTTTTATATTCTTTAAATAATTGAACTAATTGTGATAGGAAATCCTAACAAATAAATTTTAACAATTTAAACATGCACAATTTACAGCTACAGTAAGAAAGATATTCATCGTACTTTGTCTGCAGGGGTTAACCTAGTCCAGGGCTTGTCAGCACGTCGATCATAGTCTTTTGCTTCTGTGACCTCCACATATTCATTGAAGCGCAAAATTCTGCGTGCCACCAATTCTGCGACTGTGGGCCGAACACTGAGCTGCAGACACACACACACACACACACACACACACACACACACACACACACACACACACACATACACATATACACATACACGCACATACATACACAGAAACACACACCAAATCTCTCAGTCACCTTCAATAAAGACCTTTTCAGGTGCACTCAACTCATTTGTGTGAAAATGAACATGTCAAACTAAATTCAGGCGCTGATGGTAAAGCAGGTGGATGTAACCAATTTCACTGAAAACATTTAGATGTGAGCTGCAGTCATTTGTTCCCCTGTAGAACTGCTCAATCATGAATAAAAAAATCTGCAAGTGACTATTGAGCAAATGAATAGATCTGGTTTATCTGGCGATTCAACCCTCTGGCCTGGTTCTCTCAATAATACAGGCCATTGGCAGTAAACCAAATTAAAAAGCCCTAATTAAAACCAACAGATTTCCAGCCACTTCTGACCAGAACTCCTGCAACATGTCAAGACAATAAAACTCAGTTTTACAAGCAGAAACACCTCACACATTTTAATTAAGAATTATCTAATGGGTTACAGGCACAACTAAATTAACTCTCATTTCCTAATAGTAGAGGAGCAGAAGAGTTATAATTCCATTACAAACGCTTTGCCAAATTACCATTTAGTCAAGTTGATGTCCTGCACTTAAAAGTGATTTACTTTGCTCCTCGTGTTTTGCATATCTAACTAAACTGTTGTATAAGACCAGCAGGTGGCGCAGTGTCCCACAATCCCGCATTGCATTTTATACTAGATTATGTCACAGTGATTTTTTTTCCTATGATGATTCACAACTTGATGCAGAACTGTGCCTAAGTAACAGGTTATAAGTAGAGCTGTGCAAAATATATCGCGATTGATCACATGCAAAATAACAGTTTGTTTTGATGTGTGAGTACTCTGAATATTTATTATGTTTATATTTGAGAAAATGTATAATATAATAAGCATGTGTAATGCATTATACCTTTTACTTTATGTATGTATTTGTAATACACATACAGCTGAAATTAGGATTTCATACAGGATTATTAGCCCCCGTGAATAATACCCATGATCTATTGTAATCCTGGATAGGTTATAAGCAATGTGAAGTAATTTTTGACTAAATAAAATGATACATTTGTGTGAACAAATGCCTAGGAATCACCACAAGTAACTATTACTGTGCGGCCTGAACACTACATAATCTATATATCAAATGTATACAGTTGAAGTTGTTTGACAAAGAGAAGGTTTTTAGCACATTTTTAAACATAATAGAAAAAGCTTAAAGTGACATTTAAAGGCTTAACTAGGTTAATTAGGTTAACTATGCAGGTTAGGTAATAATTCATGTTATTGTATAATGATGGTTTGTTCTGTAGACTATCGAAAAAAATATATAGCATTTAAGGGGCTAATAATTTTGACCTTAAAGTGTTTTTAAAAAAAATTAAAACTGCTTTTATTCTAGTGGAAACTAGACAAATAAGACTTTCTCAAAAAGAAAAAATATAATCAGATTTACTGTGAAAATCTCCTTGCTCTGTTAAACATCATTTGGGAAATTTTTTTTTTTTTTTTTTTAAATCGAAGGGGGTTTAATAATTCTGATTTTATTCATTCATGCATTCATTTTCTTTTCGTCGAGGTCCCTTTAATAATCTGGGATCACCACAGTGGAATTAAGTGCCAACTTATCCAGCATCAGTTTTACACAGCAGATGCCCTTCCAGCTGCAACCCAGAACTGGAAAACATCCATGGAAACTCATTCACACACATACACTACGAAAAATTTAGCTTAACCAATTAATTTGTACCGCATGTTTTTGGACTTGTGGGGGAAACCAGAGCACCTGATGTCAACTGTACCTAATATATATTTATATACATATAAAAGTTATGTGCATTTATATATATCAAAACAAACCTTTATTTTGGATGCAATTTATCAGCACTAGTAATGAATAATTTAAAATTAAAGCAACTTATAAATAATTTATATTAAATTTATATATCTAATGTATTAGTATTTGGCTAAATTAAGTTCTATGGAAGGCCATTTCTGCCACACCTAAAGAAAAATCATTCTTTGATAAATGAATCATATGACATACTAAAGGGCTCTATTTTGACGATCCATGCGCAAAGCGCAGGGCGAAAACACTCTCTGGGCATGTCAGAATCCATTTTTGGTAATATAGGGACAGAAAAATCCGCTTTGCGCCAAGGCGCATGGTCTAAAAGGGTTGATTTTACTTTCCTAATGAGTTATAGGTGTGTTTTGAGAATAAAAAAAATCAGAGTCTTATCTCCCATTCCCTTTAAGAGCCAGTTGCGTCACGAAATGGCACATTTGCTATTTACATGACGTAAAGTAAGACGAAGAGGAAAAACTGAGCATTTCACTGGCAAGAAAACAGTTAAACAGAGCATCTGCAGCACTAGAATGAGAGATAAATGATCTACTTTCACTTTCGCTCTCGTGGATAGGGAAACCTTGTACGCACAGACATCAATTAGCCTATAAATAATTAATTTTGTTTGTTAAGCGCAAATATTTGTTTCAAAACTATTTCGAAATTAAGTTTTAATTTCCAGCAAACGAATAAATGAAAAATAATAACGAAGTGTGTTCAAAAACCTGAGTTATATCCTAAAACACATGCTGAGCCCCATATGGTCTAAAACCTGACAGGTGGACTAATCTAAGCTTGTTTTTAATAAAACAAATATAAATATGCATATAATAAATAATACTGCTAATAATAATAATAACATTATACAAAAGCAAACTGAATGAACTGAAAAAGCCTCCCGAGATGAAGAAAGCATGAAGGCAGTGGTTTTTCATATTTATGTAGGCTAGAAAATAATATGTTTTGTAATATTTTATTCCTTTATATTTATATTCTATATATATATATCCTTATTTTATCCTATATATATATATATATATATATATATATATATATATATATATATATATCCTTAATATTTTAATTCTTTTTCATATGTAAAGATATTTGTGTATTGCTCTACATCTTGTGTGTATTAAGCAATGTTCAAGCGAGGCGGACAACTAACGCACTCTGCGCCTGATTTTAGACTAGGTTTGTTCTGGTCTAAAGAACAGATTATTATAGTTTCTCAAAATAGCAACGCGCCAAAACACGCCTGCTTTTTACGTCAGAACGTCTATGGGCGCACATATGAGTACAAATGCATTTGCCATTTAAACAGCGTGGCACAAAAAGTCAAAACGACTCTTGCGCCAAGCTGAAACTAGCAAACAACTATTGCGTCGCGCCTTGCGCCACATTGCGCCGGGTGTGTGATAGGGCCCTAAGTCATATATATGCCAAATTTGATCTCAAAAAGTTGAAATTATAATTGTAATGTATACATGTAAAAAATTATATGTATTATATATCAATGTATAAATGTATTACATGTATATATTACATGTATTATTATATTTAGGGGTCCTTTCCATCATAATTTACATGTTTTAATGATAATTATTATTAATTTAACCTTACTATTAGTAGTTATAAAGTATGATCTGCATCCCTAATCATACCCAAAAGCTAACCCCAACTTCTATCTTACTAACTACTAATAAACATCTAACTGGTGATTTATTAGCTAAAAGTGTTAGTTAACAGTTTGTTGATACAGTGACCTGTGAGGCGTAAATGAACCCATATGTCTGGCATACTTAACAGATGATGATAATCTGTTTGAAACATTTTTAAAAATGAAAAAAAAAAAAAAAAAAAAAACTATTAAACTGCAGAAGGTTGTACCTTTCGGGACAGTCGTCTTTTAATCTCCTGCTTGGCCTCATGTTCTTCTTCCTCATTTTTCTCTGAAGAAATACAAGAATGTTTACTTTGTTAGTTTTAAATCTAATTCCTCCAACAATCAACATTTGCTCTGAAATTGAATTACATCATTTAACGATTACTGCAAAATTGTTTAGCACAACCAAGTTCACTCAAGACTAAGTGGCAATCATCCAACAACAATGATTTTTACACACTGGAAATCAGTAGCATAGCAGTAAAAGACCATAACAGTAATCTCAATCATAATCAAATGGTGCCGATGCAGGGGTGTGACAGATCCAGAATTTGGTTGATCTATAAAATATTAGCATCTAAGTTTAACCACCTTCTGAATTGTCAGAGGAGCTGAAAGCAATTTAAACCATTCATGCTCAAAAAGATTTTGAAATCTCCTTCAATTTGAGTAAACAGTGGTCTATTTTATTTTCTTGGCAAATAACGCACAGAAGTTATTTTTGGTGGTTATCATTGTAAACAAATTGGAGTATGTCTTATATGTCTAATAAAGTGGCCTGTGAGTGTATATTAGATAGTAGATGTTTTTGCCAAAGAATCTTGTGATGCTTGAATCCTGTGATTTGCAAAACAATTTAAAAAGAACATTCTTCCGTTCTCAAAATGCCAGTACACTCGTGTGATTGCCACAATTATTATCTCTTTAAATAACTTACCTCAATATTACTTTAGGAAACAATAAAATGTCATGACATCATATTATAACTCCACATTTTGGAATGCTTACACCTCTCTCTGTTTGTAGACATACAGTGGTGAGCTGCATCTCATTCCTAGTCTCTGTCAATTACATCAAAACCAAGGCAACAGAAAAGTGACAGAGACAAAGGTACCACAATTCATTGCATCTTTCCTGTTGCCTTGGTTTTCTTGATTTTTGGTTGCTGCCAATGAACGTGTCTCCAGCATCAGAGGCAGTAATAAGCAAGAACAAACAGTAAAGCCCTGGGCATCCAAACACTGTCTGCACACAATGGTAATCAGATTGAGAAAGAGGACACATACGTTTTAGAATGTTTCGCTGTTCAAGCTCTTCTGTGGTGGGTCTTTGACTCAACCGTCTATAGGGAAGAAAAATTGTAGGTGTCAGTCTGAGAAAAACATACTTGTGTTTAGTTCAGAAGCTTACAGCCAGGCCCAATTCATACACGTCTAAAAAATTGGAGAAAAAATTATAAGTTATTGTGCTGGGCAAAGATTTATCGCACCCAAAAATAGAGTTTGCTTTAACATAACAAATGTGTGTATTATATATATTTATCAATATGTAATACACACATATACAGTTGAAGTCAGAATTATTAGCCCCCCTAAATTATTATACCCCTTGTTTCTTTTTTCTCGAATTTCTGTTTAACGGACAGAAGATTTATTCAACACATTTCTAAACATAATATCTTTAATAAATCATTTCTAATAACTTATTTTTTTTATCTTTGCCATGACGACAGCAAAAAGTATTTGACTATATTTTTCAAGACACTTCTATACAGCTTAAAGTGACATTTAAAGGCTTAACTAGGTTAATTAGGTTAACTAGGCAGGTTAGGGTAATTAGGCAAGTTATTGTATAACGATGGTTTGTTCTGTAGACTATTGAAAAATATATAGCTTAAAGGTGTTAATAATTTTGTCATTAAAATTGTGTTTAAAAAATGAATAACTCCTTTATTCTAGCTGAAATTAAAACAAATAAGACTTTCTTCAGGAAAAAAAATTCTATCAGACATACTGTTAAAGTTTCTTTGCCTTGTTGACTTCAACTGTACTGTACTGTACATAAAAACAAAATGTTTCCATATATGTTTTATATCTAAATATGAATAAACATTTTCTCAAATATATGCATGTGTGTGTGCATTTTACATACATAAATATACACAGTAGTCACACATTTTATGTCAAAACAAACCTTTATTTTGGATAGACTTAATTGTGATTATTCTTTTCAGACAATCAATCAATGAATGATAATTTTGAAAATCTGTCTAAACTATTGACAGATACTGATTATTATAAACTGTCAATTTCAGCATCCCAATATAAGCAGTAGAGCGGTAAAGAGCAGAATGGTTAGATGTACCTGACTAGTTTGCAGCCGATTTGCTGTCTTAGCTCCTGTCGCTCCATCTCCGAGGTTCGTGGGAGAATGTTCTTCTCTTCAAGCTCCCTCTTGCTGGGCCTGTTACCAAGTTTAATAGCAAGAGTGTCCCTGCGGCGAATTTTACTGGCAAGGGAGCCTACGAACAAACAAAAAAAAGTACCATAAGCTAGGAATGCATTACATATTAATTGATTGATGAATTTTGTTTTATTAATGCATTTTAACTGTTAAAACTGTTTTAACTGTTAACTGTAAAGTCAGAATTTTTAGCCCCCCTTTGAATTTGTTTACTTTTTTTTAAATATTTCCCAAATCATGTTTAACAGAGCAAGGAAATTTTCACAGTATGTCTGATAATATTTTTTCTTCTGGAGAAAGTGTAATTTGTTTTATTTTGGCTAGAATAAAAGCAGTTAAAAAAAAACAAAACTTTGAGATCAAAATTATTAGCCCCTTAAGCTATATATTTTTTGATAGTCTACAGAACAAACTATCCTTATACAATAACTTGCCTAATTACCCTAACCTGCCTAGTTAACATAAGTAACCTAATTAAGCCTTTAAATGTCACTTTAAACTGTATAGAAGTGTCTTGAAAAATATCTAGTCAAATATTTACTGTCATCATGGCAAAAATCATAATGTTGTCTTTAACAGTATATATACACACATCATGTTAACAAGACTTTGTTTTCTCGTAAAATAGTTTTGTAACTACATTTAGTCTGAAGTCAAATCAGATGCATAATAGCATTTGTAGTCTGACCCACAGTAACATCTGATACAGCTAATCAGAGAATACTTTCTCTTTCTGACTAGGTCAGAATACACTACATATCCCTCAAAACGCTATAATCTTAAATACGTTTTAACAATAAACTAATTGTAATTAAAAATAATTGCATAAATGACAGAAACTTTTATTACACAAACAAACTGAAAACTGTTGACCCCCCCCCCCCACAATATATATATATTTATATACATATTGACACATTGTAACATGGTAGGGAAGTGGGGGCTATATCTGTTGTACAAAATATATAAAAAGGGTCTACATTTACATTACTTTTACTGTCATCTAAAACTCAATGTTAAAAAAAAATTTGGACATAAATGCAAATGTCAAAAATTAAAAAAAAAAAACTATTTTGCACATTTTGTAAAAATAATGGTGTGATACCTAATTCACCTGAGAAGATTTTTTAATAAATGATTCGTGCAAAAGCATTTTCATATTGGCGATTTATTGTTTGTTAGCCCTGAGATGAATACTACAGTGCTCAGCATACTTGAGTACACTCCTCACAAATCTCTCATATAAATAACATTTTCTATAGGATGATATATTTGTGCATATTACATTTTGCCAGTACTGAAGCCAAATATTATTTTAATAAATATATCTGTTTAATAAATCTGTTTTGTTCAAATGCACCAATATATATTACCCATATTCACTGAGAAATGAATACAAATATTCATTTTCAAAATGGAGTGTACTCATTTATATTGAGCACTGTATACTTTCATATTTTTTTAAGTGATAGTGTAACACTAGAACAAACTTATTTGCATTTCTAACACTTGTGAACTGTTTTCAGATTGCAGGGTGGAAAGAACAGCAAATTAGAAACAGGCATGAGTGTTTGCTGGAATGTGTTGTGCATAGCACAGCAAAGTTTGCACAGTAACCAGCATGTCGGAAAGTAACGCCGACTTGGGACAGCATGTTTTTCCAGTTTGACAAACTAAAGACTTAGACCACAGCTTTGCCAAAATTCTTTGAGAAGATAAACTTCCAAATAGAAGACCATAAGAAAAAGAAAAAAAACTCCAAGAAATGCATCAAATGTAATTGTGCGACATGTTGCGCTGATTATACTGTACATAAACATCAGGCTGATGACACAGTTTTACAAGAATACTCCAAGCTGCATATTGAAGGATTTTTTAAAAATTCATTTTTTAAATATTTCACTGGACAGAGAAAACAAATGAGATATGAGAACAACACAAACTTGAACACGTACTAGAGGTATACTCATCATCTTCATCCTCCTCTTCATCATCATCTTTATAGAGAATAGGTCCATCTGAATCAGAGTCATTTGCCTGGTTTTCCCGAATGGAGTCAGGAATGATGGTGACCTCTGCACTTTCCACATTGACAGTTTGCTGTCTCTCTCCCTCTTCCTTCCCAGCATCCCTAGAAAAAAAAACACTTATTAACTTGACTAAAACATTAATTATGATGAGCAGTTATTATATTCAGTTTAGTTAATTAAATAGGACTTTATAGTGTTTATACACATTAAAAAACATTGGCATTCACTTAGAGGAAACAATAGTCATACTTTTGAACACTTTCTACCATCTCTGACTCTTAGAAATAATGAGTACTTAAAAAAAACAAAATAATTCACACGTAAAGCAAGAAAAAAAAATGTTGACTTAAGGCATGTCAATCTTAAACACTGGTTTCAGGGTTGATCAAGGCATATTTTACCTATTTTAGTATCGGCACAGCCTGTATGAAACCCAATCACTTTATTTCACACCAACTGTCACACATATGTCATAAGTGGATAGTCAAATTTGTGAAATAAATGCATAACTAAACTGTCTGGTATGGTATTTGTTTTATTTAATTTACAATAAAAACAGTTTTTTATTTAAAAACAAAAAACAAAAAAAACATTTTAAGGGCAAATTTATTAGTCCCTTTAAGCTATATTGGTTTTTTCAGTTGTCTACAGAACAAACCATTGTTATACAATAACTTGTCTAGTTGCCCTAACTTGCATAATTAACCTAGTTATAAGCCTTTAAATTGCACTTTAAGCTGAATATTAGTGTCTTGAAAAAATCTAGTAAAATATTTTGTACGATCATCATGGCAAAGATAAATGAAATCAGTTATTAGAAATTAGTTATTAAAACTAATATGCTTGATAATGTGTTGAAATAATAAAATCAAAAATCACAATCAATAATGCCAATATAATATAGTATCTAAGAGCTAAATTCTCAATGGTTAAAAAAAACCTGCCAAATCAAATCAGTTGCTCAAAAAAAGCTTAACAAGGACATACCTCATTGTTTTACTAGACACTTGGTAAAACAAATCTTTCTGCCTTCAATTTTTAGTTGAATCAAATGGAGTTCTATGGTGACTTTCCAAGCTGACTAAAAATATTAATTTTGTATAACTTAAATGTAGTTAAAACCTGGTCAACATATTAAAATAAGTAAAAGCAACACAAAATATTTGTTTTCTTTGTTATCAAATTTTCTACAGTGCTACCTACAGACCTACAACTATTCTACCCACATACTGTAGAATTGCTATATAAAAAAAAGGTGAAATCCAAAAACAAAATAGTAAAACCTGACACAAACAGTCGTGTTATAATTTACCTAACCAGGCAACTCACAAACTCACAATATTACTACAACTTCATGAGTAACCACCACATTTACTATCAAGTTACACAATCGGGTGTTTGATGTTGCATGACATTCAGCTTACAAAACCCTTCAGGCAAACTATGACAAAACTGCACAGCTAAAAAAACGAAGAACCTTTCTTAAGCCTGAAGTACATTTTTAGCAATAGTTACAGTGCACGTCCAAAAGGTCAGTAAGGACTATTGAGTTCAGTCTGGATTTTGCTTAGTACTAATTTTACTAATAATATTAATATCCCACTGGGAAATTTTTAATTGATACATTTTTAACATTTATAAAAAACAAATAAATAAACAGCATTTTCAGTTTGCTCTTTTTGACCCCCTAAATATTGAAAATATTCCATAAAAGTTTCAATGAAAACAAAACTGGTAAATCTTCTTAAAAATTCTTGTCATGCAAGTTATGGAAGTGTATTGAATTGTATTTTAATGTATACAAACAACATTATTGCTTACAAATAATGCAAATAAACAACATTATGTGTTGCATCATTATGAATAATCTTAATAATACTCAAGATAATTTTATTCATCTATGATGTTATAATTAATTCTAGAGGTTTGTTTTCCCATCTTTGGGTTATCTAAATTTCAAACCTTGACAATGGACCCTTTTAAAAATATGAAAAGGTTTATATTGTGCTCGTAATATCCCAACACTTACTGTATATAGCATAGGGACAAATGCCTACTTTGAGATACTGTAACTGCTTATTATTGCTTTTAAAACGTACACCACTGACCTCTGTGTCTGATCCGCTTTCTCTTTCTGTGTCTCAGTCTCTACGTTCACAGGTTCAGCTGACGCATCTGACGAAAGTTCATTTGAGGACCCAATGAAGGAGGTTTCCTCTGTGGCCTGGTTAACATGAGACTGTCTTTTGTCGGTCTCTGCACACTTCGAAAGATGACTGTCACCCTTCCCGTTTTGAGATTTCTCCTCTGCCTTTTCATTAACACTGGTGGTTAATTCTTTTTTCTTTTGGTCCTTTTTAGAGGAGCTTTCCACAGTCTCTTGTGTTTTAGAAAGGGGCCGCTGCGACCTGGAGGGTTCAGTCTTCTTACCAGTCTTGGCTTGTCCTGTATGTTCTGAGTTGCTGTTTTTGGAGGTTTTTGAGGAGGTCTGTGAAGATGATTGACCTGAAGCCTGAGAGGATCCTTTGGATGTGCCTGTAGTTTTTTTAGCATTCGAAGTTTTAGCTGTGAAGAAATTCAGGGAAATTCGAGAGTTAGAGATCTGAAAATACATGCTGATGGATGCACCACCCGTGGCAGTGTTTTAAATGTTGTTGTTTTTTTTTAGAAAAAAAAATACTTATAATAAAAGCAAACTGTAGGATTACCTCCAAATTGTAAACCTCTAACATGTACGCAAAAGTCACAAAATTGTGGGCACGCTTTATTTTGATATACAATTCTCACTATTAACAAACCATTAACCAAGATTTGAGTGAACCATCATAAATCAAACAAATGTACTGAAATTGATTAATGAAAATATACATAGATTTCCAAGTGCTTGATTTAAATGAGGAAGCAGTCGTGCCACCAATGATGAGCTGCACCAGAGACAAACAATGGACAGGTAAAAGAATAAACACGGTGCAGCGTGAAACAATGAGCCCCATTTATACAAGACGACACAAGTGTGGTTTACATGCACAAAGAACCGATCACATGCAAACATGCAACACATTATACCATTATATTCATACATAAAAGCAAACGTCAATAAAAAAAGATAATGTGTTCACATAAATCAAGCAGAACAACAACACAAAAAAAGCCACACTGGGTCACAAATGAGTCAGGGTATGATTTGGCACAGTACTGGATAAAGAAGAATTAAACCTGAACTAATTAAACCAGCATATTGGCTTGTTTTCCAGATTTTGCTGTCATTTTAGTTCCAAACAAGTTCTTGAAGAGACCAAGTTGGTTCCCAGTCAGACCGATTGGGAAAAAAGAAGTGCAAACGGGATCCCTCCATGCAGAGTTTTATTCACCGATGCATGCTAATATCGTCACTGACACGTTTACTCACCATTGCCACGAGTGGCAGTTCTTGAGGTTTGTTTGGGTGGAGGAGCAGAGACCTGCTTATTGGTAGCCTTGGTTACCTTTTTAGCTCCTGCTTGCCCCCCTTTCTTCACGCCTGTGCTCGTGGCTTCAGCTGAGGGTTTTGGGAGTGTAGTCGGGGGTTTTTTAGCAGGGGGTTTTAGAGCGGCTGATTCACTGGCTTGTGGGATGTGCTTGCTGTCATTTCTTTCTACAAGGGCACAGAGGAGCAGAGCACCCTCATTGACTCAGAAGACCCTCATTATGTCTGTGCATAGTCAAAAGGTATACTGTAAATAGGGCACTTAAATTTAGCTCTAAGTTATGACTTGGTCATGATGCATTTTAAGCCACTGCAATTCTAAAAATATGACTACATATCAACTCCAAAATTACCAGCCTACAGTAAAGCTTATGAATCATATATACTGACTGACTTATTGGTATTTTCATATACAGTAGGTTGTTTTTAATCACGTGGTTCTGGTCACGCTTGAAATTCAGATGGAGGGTGGGAAGTAAAACATAGAGGAAAACATAGAGGTAACATAGAGGTATTTTTGCGATGTATACCTTATCTCAAAGGAAAAATAAATAGAAAAATAACTTTGTTGGGCATGATCCTTGTATCATGAAGAAAGCTGAGTTTTTTACTGAACTAAAATAAATTTGCTTGTCATTGAGGTGGTAGATACTGTATAAGCTATATACACATTACATGAAAAAAGTAAACAAGTAAATACTATAGTGTTTGGAAGCTTACTATGGTTAATTACTTGGATTAAACTGTTGTAGTAATTATATTGTTGCTGTGGTACGACAAGTAATAAATAGGGTTGGGTACCAAAACCCAGTGCCATTATAGCACCGGTACCTTTGTAACTGGTATGTACCGGATCAAATCAGCATATGAATTTTGGTGCCTAATTTCGGTGCCACCGTTGCTGCAACAAGGACGTAAGAAGCATTAAGGGGTGCATCAAAGGCACACATATGTACGGATTACACACCCTCTCTAAACATTTATTTGTAATAAAAATTCTGAGGAATACGAACAGGTGATGTTAGGCGTTTGTTCCTTTTGCTTAGGGAACGGGCGCACATGCAACGCACACAGTACAGTGCATTCGTTAAGCGAGAGAGACTTTCTTCAGATCAGCACGCACTTAACTTTTGATATTAAATTCCATTAAAAGAGCACTCTTCCACCAGTCCTTGTGTCAACAAGCTTGGCCCTCCTAAATTTGGACTCGTATTTTTGTGTCAAAACGCCACAGAGAAGCGAGATCAGCCATCGGTGGCAGACTGCGGAGATATGACTGAGGCCTCTCTCTGCGCACTCTCTAGGTGTTATGAGCACTCACTCTCTCTGTCAGTGACGGTGCTGCGCGCATTAGCCTAGTTCCCAGCATTCGTCAGAGGTTGACGCCCAAATTGACACAGGTAATAGCGATTTTACACTTTCAATATAGGAAGTCTTCGACTATGCAGAGACCATTATTAATCAGAAATCTAGTGTACATAGTTTCACGTTAAGAAATGTAACACATTGATCAAATGTAGTTTTCAGTCACACTCATGCAAGTCATATTCAACTTGTTTAGTTTGCCTTCATTCATTTTTGATTTCCATCTTCAACACATGATTTATTTACAACACATTTTTAAACATAATAGTTAAACTAACTCATTTCTAATATCTACTTTTTTTATCTTCCCCATGGTGACAGTCAGTGCATAACATTTTACTAGTTATTTTGCAAGACAATTGTATTCAGACAAAGTCCCTTTAAGTATTTTATAGTCTTTTATTCAGATCAAAGTGTAATTTAAGGCTTAATAAGTATTCTGTAGCATTTATTAGCAAAGTGTTGTGCACATTATACACTTAACTATGTGGTTCAAAAACATGTTTATTACAAGTTACTACAGTTTTCCCCCATGCAGACATAACAAAATAACAGATGAAAGCATACAAAAGCATATCGCATAGACTACATTATTCTTTATTTATTCTTGTATGGGGAAAAGTGCTCCACGATAATAACCTTTTAGTTTTGTCGCAAGGGTTGCATTTCTTTTATGTTAGGTCGATGAACTTACCATCAACAAACATTCACTGCTGCTGCACATCTCGATGCTAACGTTACAGTGGTTTATTCCAAAAAAACGCAAGTAAAGGCATGGATTATTGCAAAACGAGACAGATATTTCATTACACCGATAACATGGCAGGCTATGTTATTTATATTCTCCTGGATATCGTATGTGTGTTGGTGTTTGTATCTGATTTTTAAAGAACACGTTATCATATTTATACACATAGCTAGGCCTGTATATAAAGTTTTCTTGATGCTGTCAGACAAATTATAACATTCAAAAAAAGCTTGTACACATGGATGCATTGAATAAACGTTTATTACATGCCACCTTTACTTCTGTTTTTTTTTTTTTTTTTTAGCTGATTTCTTGAATTTTCCCCACTTTATCTGCAAAAACTTTTGGAAGTTTATAAAAGCTGTTTAGCCAATTTAAACAATTATAAACAACATAAACCAGAACAATTTTGATGATCTGATAGGGATTCCTATGTAGAAAAATCACTTCCTGCCTTCCATCTGAAATTTGCGCATCATCGATGATGTTAAGCAAAAACAATCTATATAGTTATATAGTGACCTCTTCAAAGAGTCTGTGACTAAGATACAGTCAATACATTTATAACTATAAAGATCTTTATAATATATATATATATATATATATATATATATATATATATATATATATATATATATATATATATATATATATATATATATATATAATAGTAATAATATAATTATATAATAAAATAGTTTTTACATTTTCTATTCAGCAAAACAAACTACAAGTAAAGGTAAGAAGTAAAGGAGTAAAAGTAAAGGCCCATTCACACCAAAACATTAATGAATGAAAAAGTTGCTCTTTAGCCGATACAACATTTGACTGCCTTTTCTTTGCCTTTTATACCTTCTTTTAAATGTTTGAAAATGACTAGAAATTGTTAAAAAAAAATGAACATTTATTTATGTTTCATCTAATATTTTATACATTAAACGTTTCCAATATTCTTCAAAATATCTTTGTTTCTGTTCAACGGAACTAAATAAAAAAGGGTTTGGAACAAGTCAAGGGTGAGGAAATGATGCCAGAATTTTCATTTTTAGGTGAACTATTTCTTTGACATCAAAGGGATAAATTTCATTTTACAATTTAATTTTAAAATAGAAAATATTACACAATATTTCCAGTTTTTTATAAAAATGCAGCAAATTTCAAAAATATATTTGACCTATACATACTGTAAACGGCAATCTTTCGATAGATTTTCCAAAAGTACAAATTCTGTCATCATTTACTCATCCTCGACTTGATCAATTGTTAAGATACTATAAATATCAATGGCTACAGGTTATAGTTTTCAAACATTCTTTAAAATTTCTGTGTTTAAAACTCAAACTGGTTAGGAACAAGTCAAGGGTAAGTAAATGATGGCTGAATTTTTGCTTCTGCGTGAATTTTATAATCTATTACACAAAATTACTGTTTTTTTATATGCACATTTTAGCCCCTATACATAAATGGCAATGTTTGCGTTGGTGATTGTCGTTAATTTGACTGATTAATTATTAAACACTGGCTTTATGCTCTTGGTGCAGTTTTATAAAAGCATTTTACAATGTCTGTTCTTCTGCACAGCGAAAATGCCTCAAGTGGATTAATGCTTGAGTAAATCTATTCCCCCGCGGCCTCTCCAAGAATAACACACATTCAGCGGTGGAGGGAAAGGTCACAGAAACAATTGCAGAATTGTTGTAGAACATTAAGGAGGCTGAAATTATAAAAATACACCATTGATGTTTCTTTTACACATCTCATGACTTTGGCCACAACAACATCTGCCCACAGCTTCAGCTAGAAAAAAAAATCCAACATGATGTCAGACTAAACGATACATTATCCATGACCTAAAAAGATGATGTCAGTACAACTGTCAAGTTATTATTTAAAAATTATTTTAATATATCATCAATCTGCTGAACTGTACAGCACATCAACGTATCTCTTGCCACTGACTTTTAAAAACACAAGCCAATAAATTAGTCATTTTTAATTAAACTAATGCAATAAAATCTGACAGTATACTGTACATAATTATAAGAACACTTTCCATATTTAAAAGGGTGTAGATTGTTTGGTAAATTGGCCTTGATAAACTTAAAATAATAATAAATAAATAAATAAATAAATAAATAAATAAATAAATAAATAAATAAATAAATAAATAAATAAATAAATAATAAATAAATATCAACAAAGCCATCAAAAAATAGATCCATCATGAGGAGATTGAAATCTTTTTTTCTTGCTAAAAACAAACTAGACCTATTTCACTGTAATATTACAGCATTAGTTAAAAGCAGAAAAAATAAGAACAACTTATTTTATCTAATGCAGTGCTCAGAGCAACCATCTGCATGTTTCATGAACTTAACATGAAATTAAATGTTGTTTTGGAGGTAAACATTAACATATTCAGCATGTCTAATATTTTAGCCACCAATGTATTATCAACATATTTGACCCTGGAGCACAAAACCATGACTATGAAAGTTTCCATCAATGTATAGCTTGTTAGGAAAGACATTTTCATTTGTTAGGAAAAATGCATTACTAATCAAAAATTGTTTACTTAATAGTATATTACTAATTAAGATTCGATTTATTTACATTAAGAAATATTAACAAAAACCTTCTAATCATAAAGTTTACTAATCAAAATTGTTTACTAAATAATAATTAAGATTTGATTTATTTACAGTAAAAAACATTTACAAAATATCTTCCATGGAATATTGCCTTTACCTAATATGTGAATGATTTTTGGCATTAAAAAAAATCTATAATTTTGAACCACACAATTTATTTTTGCCTATTTTTACAAAGAGTTTTATGGTCCATATTATCTTTATTCAGATCTAAGCAACAGAATCCGATTTTTTAGCCCTACAAAGATATTGTTATCAGATTATGTGTCAGAGAGTGGAGCAGAACAGTGTGCAAGAGGCAAGAGTAGTGCTACTGTAAGCAGCAGGACCAAGTATACTACTGTAGATAGAAACGTCCTATCTACGCCATCTTTACTCTTTCGAAGAGCATGAGTGGAACATGTGGAATATTCACAGAGTGTAATATTGAGTGAAAAGTTCTACCATGCATCTACAATGGCTGGTGGTAGAGCAAAACTTGGGTCCTGAACACTGCTGACCATTGCAGTACAGTACAAGCTCATATGTTTGCCTTTTTTCTATTTTGGCTGAAAACAAAAAAATTGTATGGAAAAAAAATGATAACTTTCATCAGTCGACAATTTAGTGCATCCCTAGTTCTGGCACTCACAAAGAGATATATTAGAGGAAACAACACAATGACATGAACCAAACACACTACTCAGGAAATGCCTTTGTTCTACAAATAACTTCAGCTGTACGATTTATTAAAAACTTGACCGCGTTTTTGTGTCACCAAACAACTTAAAACCACTGCTTCAAAGCGGTTTCCACTTCCTCTAAATGATATAGTTAACGCTACTTTACCCATGCTATATTAATACAGGCTATCTTTTCCCACCCATTTACTCTTACAGTACAAGTGCTGATTTGACTAATGTTTGGCCACAACGATATATGAAATGAAAGGTGTTATTTGCAGACACGATACACTGCAACAGCCAATTTAGCATGAATTGCTTTGCTCGGTCCATGCACTGACAAAAACACCAAGACAAGAACATTAGCATGCTTCAACACTCATGAAAAGACCACAAGTTGTCTTGCTTATAAGTGGCTTAGACTTAAACATCATAGGACTGATTAGCTGTACTGCTAAGCCCAATGTATACTTAGCTTTTTTGCTTGAGTATGTGCACAGTGTAAAAGACACAGTAGCCTGGTTTCCATTACAGATTTACACAAAACATTTGCAATATTTTCAAAAGGCTGATGTATGTCCAAAACCTATTTTTTAATCTTGCAGTAAGTCATTCCTAAAATCATTATGATGGACATTAGTAGGTATACGTGTATCTCAGTCGTATATTTAATCAAAAGAGATATGGGTCTGTTATGCCAGGTATTAATCGTGAGGGAATCCTCTTTTGCTGCTTAGGAGGAGAAAAAAATCTGTACCTGAAAAAATCTGCTAAAACCTCTTTAGTTGTCGCAGACTTTTGAGCCCATCAGACACTTACTGTGCAAATGCCGTAAATAAATATTTGTACATTTTTTAAATAATAATTTCAGTAATATTATTGAATAATATGGAAATGTTTAGTTGATTTATGTACAATACACTATGTAAAATAATAGTTTATAGGGCTGCACGATTAATTAATTTTAAACCGAAATAGCAATTTGAGCTGCGATTATTTCGATAATTACTATGGTGAGAGTGGAAAGTGTGGGGAATTAAAACGATCCAACTAACGTTACTTAAAAAGACGACTGTTACAGAAGAACCCACAAGCCCCTATTTCACTGCTGTGAAGATTAAATTAAAGCTGTGAACTGCATCTCTGCTCTGCTTCTCTTTCTCTCTCTCTGTTTGTGTGTATTGTGGACATTTGACCTGGTTGCGTGAGGTAACGTAACCTCTCTCTCTCTCACACTCTCTCACACACTCTCACACACTCTCACACACTCTCACACACTCTCACACACTCTCACACACACACACACACACACACACACACACACACACACACACACACACACACACACACACACACACACACACACACACACACACACACACACACACACACACACACACACAGGCCATCTATCAATAACCTCCTCGGTGAATAACGCCAGAGCCGCGCGAACTGCCAATTTCAGTCCTTTCTGTTGAGTGCGGGAACACAATGACCAATCACAGGTGTTTAAGAACTCGCTTGACAATGCTCAAAATGCTCATGTTTTTCTGTGCATGCAAAAATGTCTTACAAATAATATATAAATTTAAATGTATTTAGAAATTATGCATTTAAATATAAGAATGTTTGTGCTGTGAAGTAAAATCTAAAGTTGTGTATGGTAAGCATTGTCAATGCACAATGAATGTCATAAAATCAAAATGAAAAAATGTAACAATCTAAATGTAAAGGTTTCAAAGGTTTTATATATCTACAGTTGCAATCAGAATTGTTAAACCCCCTGAATTTTAACGGAGAGAAGATTTTTTTAACACATTTCTTAAAATGATAGTTTTAATAACTCATTTCTAACAACTAATTTATTTTATCTTTGCCATGCACATAACATTTTTCTAGATATTTTTCAAGACACTTCTATACAGCTTAAAGTGACATTTAAAGGCTTAATTAGATTAATTATGTTAACTAAGCAGGTTAGGGTAATTAGGCAAGTTCTTGTATGATGATGGTTTGTTCTGTAGACAAAACAAAAAAAATCAAAAACATATATAGCTTAGAGGCTAATAATGTTGACCTTAAAAAATGTAAAACTGCTTTTATTCTAGCCCAAATAAAACAAATATGACTTTCTCCAGAAAAAAAAATATACTATCAGACATACTGTGAACATTTCCGTGCTCTGTTAAACATAATTTGGGAAACATTTAAAAAAAAATAAATAAAAAGGGGGTTTAGTAATACTGATTCCAACTGTATATATAAGATTTTAGATACAATCTGTTTAATTGAATTTAAAATATTGTAGTTATTTTCTGAATTTGTCATGACAACTGACCTTTTTTTTTTTTTAAAAATGGTTTAAAAAAACAGTAGCATAGTGTAGAGTACTTTGTGATTATTCTTGGTCTTTCTTTGGTGCCATTTAAACCACCACATTAAACCTGCAGCTCCTTTATGAAATTATAGTGAATCGCATGAAAAAAAAATGTCCAATTTTGATCAGATAAATCGCAATTAGACTTTTTCTCCAAACCATGTAGCCCTAATAGTTTATATGTTTCTAGTGGATACATTATAAAAGCACTGTAACTTTGTTTACCAAATTAGTTGCATTGTAAACCTTAAAGTTTCAAAGACTTTTTATATTTAATTTACATGTTAAGTTTACCGCTTTTTCAGATTTTACAAAATTCTGTGCAGAAAAAGACAACAAAAGTCCTGCTAATGAGGCGAGATCATAGTATACTATTTCACAGAGGAACTGTGAATTCAGCATTTCCGGATGAACAGATCAACTACGTTTCTACAAATAAACGCATTATCACATCTTAAAAGAATATTTTGGGCTTTAGATTTCATGCTAGAAATTCAACTATCTTTATTTGTATCCTTGTTGCAAACTGTACCTTCTGGCTCCTCTGCCACTGCCGCCAAGTCTGATTTCTCTTCTGGGACTGGTTCTGGTGTTTCAATGTCCACTTTGACCTTTTCAGTACCTCCACTGGGCACTGCATGGCCATTCAAGGTCTCTGTGTTCAAAGGGTCATCTATAGATAGGAAAACATGGCTCACTTATCAAAAAAGCAAGACTTAGTAAATGAAGTTCACTGAAAAGTATTTTTTTGCATTTACACTTAAGTCATTCTGCAGATGTTTTTTGTGAGAAGTGCTTTGAGTTCTTGATGAGTCCTTAAAGGCAGCACTTAAATTATTAGTCAAACATTTTACTCTGAACCTGAAGACTGAAACATTTTCACTCAAAAACTGACTGCAAAGATTGAAATAGTATTTTCTGGCAAAACATGCTTATTTTATTTTATTTTAAAAATTGCTTCATGTATAGGAAATATTCATGTCACCAAATTCATGTTTTGAATTCAAATATCAAATATCAGCTTTAATAAAAAAAAAACATGTATGTGAAATTCTGGGTGGTATATTCACTTTATTCATAATAGGGGTCAAGAGCAAACAAAATAAGAGGTCATTAAATAAGGTCATTATACCATAAAACATCCTTGAATTAAAAAAAGGGCTTATATTGATACCAAAATAGGTCCATGCAGAAATCAAATGTAAAAGAAGCTTTGAAAATAAACAAGAATGTAGGCTGTCGAACATACATGTAGAAGTATATATCAGTAGGCACACAGCTGGCCTAACAAACTTTGGTGCCTAATCTTTAAAGCAAAGTGAAAGTAAAATTAAACAGAAACAGAACAAAACATCCTATTACTTCTAAGATATTAGTTTATTCCACAAATCATGTGAAATTGATAGGTGGATATCAGAAAACAGTACAAAATGAAAAGATAAAAAAGGGTTCATGACTTCTTCAATGCTTTAATTGCTTCTGATTTGTTTATCCCTGGAACCTGTGGCTACAGACGTAGAAAACAGTGAATTTGTCTTATACTATATGTGGTGGTACCATTATGGTTAAAGATGCTATCTGCTAATTAACCAGTTCTAATTAACCTCATATAGCCATTAGTTGCAGCAGTTAGTTATTATAAAATGAATTCAGATAAACAACTAATCAATATCAATTCTACAGTCTAATACACTTCTTTGAAAGGTTAGTTCACCCAAATATAAAAATTTTGTTATTAGTCCCCCTCATTCTGTTCTAATTCCCTGAGACCTTTGTTGATCTTCAGAACACAAATTAAGATATTTAGATTAAATATGAGAGCTGCCTCATCCTTCACAGATAGTTTACTAAGGGCAATATTACAGTCAACAGTGCAACACGCAAGCATCATATTGCTCATAGTAATGTGCCCCTGATCAGACACAGTAGATATGGGTGAACAAATTGTTTTTACATTATTGTGCACAAAGGTGTTCTTGGAGCTTCTTATGATCCCGGTTCAGCCACTGAAGTAATATGAAATGTTTTTGGTTCCTTTTCTGTTTTTTTAAACAAGTCAGGAGCCTTGCTGTCAATAGAGAATGAGAGAGCTCCCAGATTTTATCCAAACTATCTTAATTTGTTTTTTGAATATGAACAAAGGTCTCAGGGGAATGGAACGCCTCAGGGGAAATTTGATCACCATACAGTGTATCCATAAAGTATTCATAGTGCTTCACGTTTTTCACATTTTATGTTACAGTCTTATTCCAAAATGAATTAAATTCATTTATTTTTATTCTTTTACACACAATACCCCATAACGACAATGTGAAAAAAAGTTTTAAACTTATTAAAAATAAAAAACTTGAAAAATCAACTCGGTGAATGTCCTTGATTGGTCCAACCAGAGACCAGACCTGAATCCTATTGAACATCTCTCAACAAATCTGAAAATGGCTGTACACGGTCGCTTCCCATCCAACCTGATAGAGAATGAGAGATTTTGCAAAGAGGAATAGGCAAAAAATTCCAGATACAGGTGTGCCAAGCTTGTGGCATCATATTCAAAAAGACTTGAGGCTGTAATCACTGCCAAAGGTGCTTCAACAAAGTATTGAGCAAAGGCTGTGAATACTTATGTACATGTGATTTTTTTTATTTTTTTATTTTTAATAAATTTGCAACAATTTCAAAAATCTTTTTTCACATTGTTATTGTGGGGTAGTGCGTGTAGAATTTTGAGGAAATAAATTATTTTGATCTATTTTGGAATGAGGCTGTAACATAAAAAATGTGGAAAAAGTGAAACGCTATGAATACTTTCCGGATGCACTGTACATGCACACTGAATGTAACATTCACTTCATTTATTTAAACTCTCACCTTGGTCTGGAATAAGCACACCCTTCTTTATAAGCTCTTCTCTTGTTTGCCTGGTGGATATTTTCCTCTCCAGAACTACAAAGATAATGTATGTGTTAAGATATCATTATATTAAAGTTACAATGGCACTCAAAGTTCACTGAAAGTGCAGCCATCAGTAATATATTGTGTGCAATACATTTCACAATACATGTTCCATATCCATCCACCATAATCATCTAAATGTCATGCCGGATGATTAAACTTTTATTTGTGGCATTGTGAAGAAGCATCAAGGAAAGCCGAGAAGGCATCATATTTTCAAAATACTTTACACAGATAAATGCATAACAATGAATCAAATGCTATTAATAAATGGTGATATACCTTTGGAGAGGTCCTGGAACTTATCACTGGTCCTCTTCTTTCTCCATTTCCAAGGTTTAAAGATCTTGCCCAGTGAAGAGAGCTTACCCTTTCCTTTCAGCTGAGGAGACTGAGAGCTTCCCACCACATCACAGTTGGCAAGAGAAGATTTTTCCAGCCCCTCCACTAAAAGTGAATCACAGCAAGAACACAATTTTGAATGAAATGAATAAAAAGCAATTACATACATGCAAAGGTTACCCTTAAACAATAGAAAATTGTTAACTGGTTTTATAACAGGAAATGCTTGTGAATGAATGTTTCTGACCATAACAACAAACATCACCCTTCAGCAATAAGAACAGCTAGCTGCCTCGTTCCATGAATAACACACAACAAACATAATATACATGCATTCAAGATAATTAAATCAAAACAAGCACACATTAAACTGACCAAACATGATAGTAAATATATATTCAGATGTCAAAAAAGGCTAAAAGTATCAGAGTTTCACAAGACCAAAAAAAGTCTACACTTAATTTACTGTAACCCTCTACCGCATGGTGTTGCCATATGGCAACATGATATTTCTGTTCATTACCCTGCCACTGATTCTTTAAGACCAATGTTTTAATATTTTTCTAGGAAAGAGAAGACCTTAGATTAGCCAATGATGTGCTTTGGTTAAGTCACATGACATGCAATGTTTTTCTGTGGCACGATTTCTGACATACTGGCATTTATTGTGAGTAGTTGCTAAATCCAAATGTAAACATCAATAAAAACCAATGACAACTCATCTCAGATCCACAAAAAAAATCTGAGACATCACCTCCAGTAAGTTATAATTACATATTCATAAATCAAAACTGTTTTTATCAAGTTAGTTTTTTTTTTTTATGTTTTTCAAAGTTAGTAAATCAATCATATGTATGTGTTACCAAATGGCAACACTGTTTAATAGTGAAACATGCAATATTGCAATGGGTTAGCTAGCTAGCAAGGTTAGCTGTGATCTTTTAAGTTGTAACAATAACATGAATTCTAGTAATATAATGTTGATCTGTCCTATGTTAATGGCATTTGCATTAGGGATAAAATCTAATTTTAATGGCTTTTGATTAGAAATAAATACAGGGAACAGTGTATTAGTAAGGACCACCATGTACTATGGTAAGTGAAAGAAGAAAAGGACACGACTGGCTCTTCCTGCAGATGAAAGTGAGGATGAGATGGATTTTAGAGACCAATAAGAATGATGCAGATTTGACATTTGAAAAGAGCAGTGATGGAGAGTTAGTTCAGAGGCTGATACAGTAGGATAGGCGTAGTATAGTATATAGTATAATACATAAGCATTGTTAGCTAGTAGCCACAATACTCTGATGCATCTGGATATATTAGACTTATTTATTTGTTATATTATTTACTGGAGAAAATATACCTACTGTATGTAGGTATCTACATAATAATACAATATTATGTTTGTTTTCAATAACATTCAGCAAAAATAATGAAACAATATATGCAGTAGAGGGTTTTTAAAAGTAAACATACCAAATCAGTATATTATATTATTTTCTGAAGTGTGATGTTAATGTGATGACTGGATTACTGCACTGTACAAATTATATGAACAATTAGTCATCACACAATATGTTTTACTTCATTGTAACTTATTATATTAACTTAATCATGTTCTAACTTAACCTTATAAGTTATGCAATCACTTTTAAGTCAGTTTAACATAATATAAGTCCAATGGACTCATTAAAAATTTATTTTTACAGTGTGGCTACAACTTTTACTCTTAATATTAAAAGTTCCTTGCAAATGCATCACAAGACCTAATCATTGAAAATGTTCAGATTAGCCCATCTGAAGCCTAAGATTTGAACTCTCTTCCACTCCACCTTCACCCCTACATCACCTCTACTTAGCTGGAGTAAAATGAACAGATTCTCGCAGCGAGGTGTGGTTTTCCACATGACCCAGGCAAGAAGATATTAAACCCGTTCATCAAACATAAACCCAACAGAACAGCCGACCTAAAGTCACAGGCACACCTCACCAGATGAAGTGTAAAACGATCATAAGAGCGTTTCCAATCAGCCAAACCAGATCAAAGAACTCAGAACAATAAACAAAGAGTCAGGCTGCAAAGCAGTGACACCATTTATCATTTCAAGCAAACGCACACACACTTTCATTGTTCTCCGCAGGATTACAGCAGAGACCTGGGTCAGTGTGTGTATGGGTCACCGTTATAAACCAGTGTAACTTTTTGCCTTTCTCAGACATTTCAAATCATTGAAGTTCAATGTTTTTCGGACACCAACACAGCGCAGATCTTTATATAACTTTCCCCCAGCCGAAAAACATCAAAAACACTGACAGTCAATCAGAATCCATCATTCATTAAAGAGCTTGTAGATTTAGGTTGGCAGATGACTACTACAATACTAAAACTGAACATGATCATTCATTGGTGTAGATGCCAATATGATTATTGTTTTTAATATTTTGGATGGGGGGGGTCAATTATTTCAGTAATGTTAGTTTGAGAAATACAGTGCATGCTTTAGTGAATCAAATTTATGTATTTATTAAAATGAAATAATTTATTAATAAAACGTATTGAAGTTTCTGTGTTTTTAGGGATATTTAGTGTATCGAACATTCCCTGATTAACTATTTCAGTGGGTCATTCTGTGGGTCAAGCTGTAAACTATGCATGTAATTTAGGTGGCACCCAGCAAGAAGTTTGCTGGTTCAAGCCCTGGCGGGGCCAGTTGGCATTGCTGTGTGGAGTTTGCATGTTCTCCTAAGTATTTGTGTGGGTTTCCTCTAGGTTTCCCTCACAGTCCAAAAACATGCACTAAAGGTGATTGGATGCACTAAAAAACAACCTTAGTGTATGAGTGCATGTGTTTTCCAGTACTGGGTTCAGGCTGCGCTGTGTAAAACTGTGGTAATAGGCAGGAATAGTTGACGGTTCATTTCTTTGTGGTGACCCCTGATAAATAAGGGAATAAGAGAAGGAAAATGAGTGAATGCATCTAATTTGACATCACTTTTAGGCTATATGTAGATCCAAACACCTATTTTACAAGAAAAGGGTCTTGTGAACACTTATGATGGAAGTCGCGAGAATCCTGCTCTGCCCTGCTCATAAATTGGTGCGGCTGACTCGCCTGCTTTATTCCACAAACACAAAAAAATGAAGATCAGCTCATAAGAAGAGTGAGCATTTAAAATGACACAAACCCATATCAAACTTTTAAAGAGTGATAGAAGACTTTTTTGTTTGTTTTATGGCAGAAATATTATTTATTAAATTGACATGCATTTAAAAACAATAGTGCAAAATAAATATTTCTTACTCCAATGCTTCATTTTTGTTTGATGCTAACCATAAATTTATTTTTCATAAATTAACAGCCTTTTTATTGCACACAACTTAAATTCAAGCACATTCAAGGCAGCATGATGATGAGAAATGTAATTCATTGTTACTATTATTGTAATTTTTATCATCATTAATATTTTATAATTATTAGACATACATTTTGGAATTATTGCACACAAATATAATGTCTCAGCATTAAATGGATAGTTGTTTCTGGTTTTTGTTAGTCCTAATTGATGTTGTTTTAAAATACAATAAATCCCTTAAAATACAATTTGCAATGGGCTTATTCATTTTTGGTGGGTGCTCCTAATTTTTATCTGATGCTCCTAAATTCTTTTTGGTGCTCCTAAATATTTGAAGTTGGGAGCACTGGTGCTACAAAGTAAAAAAAAAAAGTTCATTTCAAGCCCTGCTGTAAATTCAATCATCGGGTAGTTCATATACATTGACCACATGTAAACACCTCTTAACATTTTAAAGAATATACTCAGAAATGTTCTAACTTCATATGTGATCATATTTCTCACTATATTTAAAAAATTCAGCACAAAGGTTTAAAGAAAAATTTAGAAATATAAAATAATAAATAAATAAATGTTAACAAATAATAAATATTAATAATAAAAAAAAACACTTTTCGAAAACTATTGATTACAGGTCTAACATAAAAATAAATAAATATTGCAAAATAAAATGCAAAAGGTAAACATTGTACTAACAAGATTTCTTATAATGCGGTGTTATTCATATTTTTATCAGGTGTAATATTCCGCTCATATATTATGAAATATTGTTAGGCTAAAGAATGTATTTTTGACACCAGGAAATAAATGGTAGAGCATAATATAAATATAATATGTAAATAAAATATGTGATATACTGTGCATTGTCATATTGAACAACCCTAAATCAGATATTATTCACTTGCTACGTTTCCATCCACCTATTATTATGTGCATTTTGGTACATGCGAATAAAGAACTCGTTAATGGAAACGGCAAGATGCGCATACATTGCTGAGTAGGATAAACTTTTTATTCGATAAGAAAAGATGTGCATAAACTGCAAAAGAAACCCATTTACCGAACAAATTCCAGTATGCACATTTGAAAAGTCATGTGATTTTGTTATAAGAGATAATGTGATGAACAAAATGTGTGTAAATGGATAAACCAGCAGGCTAAGCACATTGTAAACACATCTGAAATGTTGTTTTGGTCATTTTAAAACGCCTCAACCATCTCAGTATCTGTTATTATATTATTAATCACCTCCAGAATCAAGTGCTCTACATCTCACACCTTCAAACGCCATCGTGCTTTCACTGTGTGCCTGGATTGGCGTCTGAGGCGCAAGTCATGTATTAAATTAAGAAAAGATTGATGCAGCTTCACATACCGCAGCAAATTCCATTTTTACTGTTGATATTTGGCACCAGATAACCAGGAAGTGACGATTTTGTTTGCTTTTGACTCATTGGATGGAAACGCTGCTTTATTCACACATCTTTTAAGCGATAATCCAATTTTTGCGCAGAAAGTTAATTTGCATTTTTGGATGGAAACATAGCAACTGGCAGCCAATGAAGATCACAGGCTGATATTATACATTTGTTATAGATATGTAAAAACTAAATTTATGTAAAAACTCTACATATTCCAGCAGTTAATCATTTTAGGACATATTAATATGAAGAGTTTAGATGCAAAAACCTCTAAAGGCTATTCGATATTTTCTTCTAAAATTTCTTCTAAAACTCTTGTGTGTTGGC